TTTCGAAGCTTTTCAGCAGAATTCGTTGCTCCGAACTGCTAAATCGGCGAATTCCGAGTCAGATAAAGGTAATTTTCTCCGAATTTCATTCGGATTTTCCCTTCTTTTAAGCTTTTCCCCTTTTTCCTACTTTTTCGCGTCGCCGTCGACCTAGCAATGGCCGGCAACCCTGGTAAAAGGCCAATGGAGCCTGAAGACGAGGACATTGAGGAGGAGGTGCCGCAACTAATTCGGAAGAGGAACCATCCTCTGCCCGTTATGCCGTTTTTGAGCGGCCGAAACCCTAACGCCCGAATTGAGGTTGGTTCATCCTCGAGTGGGGAGGGATTAAGGGTTATTCCGCTAAACAGTGCCCCTCCTAGAGAGCCAGCCGAAGCAAGTACTTCTGGCCGAAGGGCTCCTACCAGATCTCGGCCTTTAACCCCTGAAGAGAGGGAATGGACCGATGAACATGAGAACGATGGTCTGCTGAAGACCGAGCCAGCTGAATGGTGGCTAGCAAATGATGCTCGGTACCATTTTGCCGAGCAGCTGGAGGTTTATTATGGCATAATGGAAGCCGATGGGTATTGGTGCCGAATGCCCACGGTACTGGAGAGAATCTATCGGCCCCCTCCTGGTTACATTGGGGTTTATGTTCGGCAGCTGCAGTTCGGACTGCGATTCCCAGTGCACCCCTTCGTCACCGAAGTTCTGAATGGGTACAATATTTCATTGGCCCAATTAACCCCTGTCAGCATCAGGAGGATCATGACCTATCTTTGGGTGTGCATCTTCTACGGGTTGCAGCCAAGCGTTCATTGCTTTAGATGCATACACAAGCTCTCGCCGAACACCCAGTCCAGCAGAGTTCATGGCCGTGGCTGGTGGCACATAGAAGATGAGAGGGGCTACTTGACCTGCTATCCGAACGATACCTCGGATAAACATTGGCGGGAGCAGTGGATCTGGGTGCGAGCTCCTTCAGATGAGGGCCACCCTAATTATTTCGGGGGGCCCCGCTATGTCAGGAAGCCAGACCCATCCATGTCGAGCATCGGCGACGATGATTTCACCGAGGCTGATCGTATGCAGATGGAGCTATTCGGCAGATCCACTAACCCTGGTGCAACAGGCCGAATGACAATTGTGCCTACCGTGTGGTTGCCCTGCTACCATTACATCTTCCAAGAGAAGATGTTAGCCGTTGCAGGCCTCAGCCGAAGATACCAAGGTGGTAAGTGATTCGGCTGGGGCCGAGGCATTTATTTCCTGCTTTTTAGGTTTTCTCGATCCGAAGCTTTTTGCTTGAACCTAACGTTTTGCTCTGATATTTTTTCAGCTATCTGCGAAGAGACTTCCGGCATCGACTACGATCTGCTGGGGATCAGCCAGACCAGAGAGCCAATCACCAACACTCCTCCCATCACAGTTGTGAAGGATCGGCCACTGACGTTGCAGCCGAGGAAGCTCGAGGTGGTCAGCGCCTTTGAGTATTTGGCGCAGAAGCCTTGGTACAAGAAGATCGACCCTTTCTTCCTTCTCTCAGCTGAAGAGGAAGCTGCTGCTGCTGCTGCTGCTGCTGTAGAAAGAGGTGACATACAGACACCGCCTCCTCCATCCAAGCCTATCAGAGAGGAAGATTCGGAGTCCGAAGATACCAAGGAGTTGTTTGGTCCTTCGGTTAGTCCTTTACTTGTTGACTTTCTCAGCTTTATATCCTCGGCTTCTTGATTGTTTGTCTTGCAAAGCATTTTTCTGAATATGTTAATACGTAGCTTCAGCTTCTGAGCATGCATGTTACACGTAGCTTTCTTTGAATTTGCACATAGATTCTGCTAAGTGTAGTTCTTCGGATGCATCTCTGTCTGATATAGTTTCGTTTTGCTAAAACTGCTCAAGTATGTGGCCTCGGCCGAAACATCTGCGTGCTTCTGCTTTGAGCCTACTTGCTGCTTGTTATTGTTTTTGTTGTTTTGTTTGTCTTCTGCTAATCCTCCTGCCCCCTCTTTCTTCGTCTCTACAGTCCGAAGAGGAAGAAGAGGTAGAAAAAGAAGAGCCTTCCCCCTCTGAACCTGTTGCCGAGGATATGGCTGGCGGAAGAAGAAGGCCTCTGGTTTGGCCCGGCCAATTCAGGGCACCAGAGCTTCCTGTGAAGAGGCCTCGGCTGGCAGAGGTCCAGGAAGAGGTGGTTGAGGTTACTTCCCCCTCTCGGGAAGTTATCATGGAGGTGGTCGATGTGCTTGACCCCTCGTCTCCTCGTCACGTGCCTGAGCCCTTTTCTACCGAGGTTCAGCACGAGGTTGAAGTGCTGGGGATCCAGGATGAGGATCCGAAGCTTGCGGAGCAAGAGGGCGAGCCGCGGCTGAACGACGCTGCGATGTCCGCGCACACGAACATCCCTTCCAGTTCAGCTGCGACTTCCTTCCGTACCTTTCATTCAGCTGAGATGGGGTTCGGCTCAGCGCCCTTGGTCCCTGTTCCCATCCATGCCCGCGCAATCATTGAGGATAGGCGTGATTCTGCCCTTTCCTATTTTGGAAATCTGGGCAATCTTTCGGCTGTTGAAAGGGCCAAGGTCTGGATGCAGGGCGCTGCTGAATCTTTGGAAAGCGTGCCCCATCCTCTTTTGGAGAACCAAAGGGTTCTGATGCAGGTACCCTACTTGCGCGTTTTTTTTTTTTTTTTTTTTTTTTTTTTTTTTTTTTTTGCAAGTGTTGGGCTTCGGCTGACAGCATGGTCTGCTACTGTTGGGCTTTGCAGGCTGTTCACAATCATTTCCTTGCTGTGGAAATGTTTGACGAGCTTCAGAGCAAAGCTGCCAAGGTTGAAGAGGCTGAGACTCTAGCTCGGCTAGCTGAGCTGAAGCATGCAAAGGCTGAGGACGATGTCTCAGCTGCTAAGCAAGAGATGCAGAGGATGGAAGAGAACTTCCGCACCTTCAGCCGAGGCCTGGAGCAGATAGTCTTTCCTTGGCTCGAAGAGGGCCATTCCCTCATGAAGGAGTTTGGAGCTAACACCCTTGCTGAGTTCCGAGCTCGGCTTGAGGCCAAAGCCAAGGAAGATGTTGATGCGCAACAACTTCTCATTTCTGCCCATGAGCAGCAGCAGGCCCAGGTTCGGGAAGAGGCTAAGAAAGAAAAAGATGATCTGCTAGCCGCGAACCAGAAGCTGAAGGATGACTTGGAAGCTCAGAAGGCCGAGCTGCTGAATGCCAAGGAGCTGCTCAAAACCAGGATCTACACCGAAGCTGAATATGGTGAAGGTTTTGAGAACGGCTGGAAGACTGCTCGGCGCTTGGCTCTGCACGCTGCTCCCGACATGAACTGGGACCAGGTTGAGGCTTGGTCGATGGATGCTGACAACCCTCGGATCCACGAGGCTAGCCAAGCTGAGATTGACTTCCTAGTCCGTCAGGCTGAAGCTGAAGCTAAGGAGGCTGAAGAGATTGCCAAAGAGGCTGAAGCTACTGGCCCTGCCTCCTCTTCAGCTGGGGCTGGTCCATCCGGAGTTCCAGGGAATGCTGAAGCATAGGAGCTCGGGCAGCCGTCTTCTGAGTCCTGCGGATCAACATGCGCTTAATTTGTGAACGCCGCATCAGCTTTTGCCTGTTCTTTTGTTTCAGCTTGCCTCTGTACAAACTTTTTATCTGTTTTTGTGTACTTTCGGCAGCTGTGTTTTCCGCTATGTGGGCGGCTGCCGACTTTGAATTTCTGTAGTTTTAAACTTCTGAATTTGGTTTCTGTAACTCGTACTCAATGTTTTGTGATTTTTCAGTTTCTGGTGAATGAAGTAGAATTTTTAGCTGTTTTCTCTTCTTCTGCCTACTTTTCTAACTTTGCATTTGGTTGCCTTCTTTCTGAATTTTTTCCTAAATTTGGCTAAGTACAAATCTTCGGCTAAGAGTTCTTCAGCTGATAACACTTTGATCATTTTACTTGGCTTTTCATGAAATTTTCTCAAGTGCCAACCCAGGTAGGCGCCTTCTGCTCCCCCCAGAACCTTGAAGATGAAGTCTTCTGGGTTCTGAGTGCTACTGAAGCTTCGTTATAGCTTGCACATATATGCTTACTCCTTGCGCTCCTGTCAATTCTAACTCATCCGAGGGAACGACTACTTAAGACATAATGCCAGGGCAGTGATCATCTGAAGCACAAGGCGTAATTTACGCAATACTTCAGAGGTGCAATCACCACCCGAAATTGACTGGCCGACGCACAAGGCATTATTATGCAATGCTTCGGGCCTTCTGCCAATTCCTATTTTCGGCTATGTCCTAGATGAGCCTATGACCTCTTTGCCGAGAGCAGTAAATCCATCCGAGGTACAGTGCATCATAATGCAGTACCTCGAGGTTCTATTTACCACTCGTGTTGGCAGGTTCTTCGGCTTGCTGAAGCACAGTACATCACAATGCAATGCTTCAGACAGAACCGGGTGTAAACCTTGAGATAATTGTGGCAGGGACAGGAATAATGGAAACAGAATAAAATTGTGAATAATCGCGGCTCAAAGGCCTTTCATTAATCTGAAGGAAATATACTTACACAGATTTTTCACACATGAAATTTTCTAAGTACATCTGCGTTCCAGTGGTTTTTCAACTCAGCTCCATCTAACTGCCGAAGGCGATAAGTTCCTGGTTGGAGCTCATCATATATTTCATAAGGCCCTTCCCAATTAGCTGAGAGCTTCCCATGAATGCGGCTTTTCTGAACAGCGGCGGTATTCCGAAGAACCAAGTCCCCCACTTTAAGGGGTCTTGATTGGACCCTTCGATTGTAAAATTTACTAATTCTTTGCTTGTATGCCGCCATTCTATCCCTCGCTGAGTCTCGGATCTCATCTAAGAAATCGAGGGACTCTTTCATGAGGTGTTCATTCTCTTCAGCCGAGAACTGGTTGACTCGGAGACTTTTTGAGCCAATTTCCACCGGCAAAACGGCTTCAGACCCATACACCAATTCAAAAGGTGAATGCCCCGTGGCCTCTTTTTCAGTTGTCCGAAGTGACCATAGAGTTCAAGGGAGTTCCTCTATCCACTTGGACTTTTGATCTTCAACTCTCTTTTTGAGAGCGTTGAGTATCTGTTTATTTGCAGCTTCGGCCTGGCCGTTACTCTGAGGATGACAGACTGCTGAGTACGCCAGTTTTATGCCGAACTGATCTATGTACCGCCTCAGCGGCAAATTGTCAAATTGTCTTCCGTGATCGAAGACAAGCACTTTTGGGATGCCGAAGCGCGTGATGATATTCTGCCAGATGAACTTCCTGACAGTTTGCTCAGTTATATTTGAAACTGCTTCAGCCTCTATCCATTTGCTGAAGTAGTCTATTCCTACTATCAGCCATTTTTTCTGGTAGGGAGCCTCGGGGAATGGTCCCAAAATATCCAACCCCCATTGAGCGAAGGGGAATGGATTCAGTATCGGCTGAAGGTCCCTCGAAGGCCTGTGAATAACGGGTGCAAATTTTTGACATTTTTCACATTTCCGCACCAAGTCTTTAGCGTCATGAATCAACGTTGGCCAATAGTATCCTGCCCGTAGTGCCTTATGGGCTAGGGTCCTCCCCCCAACGTGGTTTCCACAGATACCGAAGTGGATCTCCCGAAGGATGTAATCCGCATCTGTTGGACCCACACATTTCAATAGTGGGGCCGAGAAGGATTTTTTCAGTAGCTCCCCTTTGTAGACGATGAACCTTGAGGCTATCCTTTTTATTTTTGCTGCTAAGTTCCTGTCCTCGGGCAGCGTCCCTTGAAGCTTATAAGCCAAGATGGGGTCCATCCAGCTGGGCTCCACCTCAGCACACTGAACCTCGATTTCTGGGTCGATGCTTCTGGTTCGGCGCACCTCCACATACACGGACCGATTCAGCTCTGTAAGAGTTGAACTTGCGAGTTTAGAGAGTGCATCGGCTTGAGCATTCTGACCCCTTGGGATCAGCTCGATCTCAAAAGTTCTCAGCTTCGCTATAACTGATTTGATCTTGGCAAGGTAGGATATCATGGAGGGTTCTTTGGCCTCATACTCGCCCCGGATCTGGTTAGCGACTAGCTGAGAGTCTATCTTCAGACAGACATGTTCGGCTTCGAGTGCTATGCATAATTCCAAGCCAGCAACTGCTGCTTCATATTCTGCTTCGTTGTTAGAAGCCTTAAATGAGAACTTGAGTGCATACTCGAAGTTTTTGCCCTCGGGAGAGGTGATTACCACCCCAGCTCCCGAGCCATTTACGGTGGCTGAGCCATCCGTGAATACTGTCCAAGTCCCCTTCCCTTCGTCGAGTATTTCCTGATAGGAACATTCGGCTAGGAAGTCTGCTAGGGCCTGGGCTTTTATTGCTGCCCTCGGCTGGTAGCTTATGCTGAACTCGGTGAGCTCGAAGGCCCACTTTGTCAGTCTGCCTGATTTTTCCACCTTGCCGAGGACTTTCTCCAGCGGTTGGTCCGTTAGGACCACGATTTGATGTGAGTCAAAATAAGGCCTTAACTTCCGAGCTGCTACCACCACCGCATATGCGACTTTTTCGAGCAAAGGGTAGCGTGTTTCGGCATCAGTCAAAGTATGACTGACAAAGTAGATTGGTTGTTGGACTTTTTCCTCTTCCTTCAGCAGCACCGCACTCACCGTAGCAGGGCTAACTGCTACGTATAAGTACAAGATCTCCCCTTCAGCTGGTCTTGCCAGTGTCGGAAGATTTGCCAGGTGCTCTCGGAGCTGCTGGAAGGCTACTTTCTGCTCATCTTCCCATATGAGCTCTTTTGACTTCGGAAATTTAAGCGCCTTGAAGAAGGGCAGGCCTTTGTCCGAGGCTTTTGAGATGAACCTGGACAAGGCGGCCATTCTCCCCGTAAGGCGCTGAATATCCCTTTTCGTCTTCGGCTCGGGAAGGTCAAGAGCTGCTTGCACTTTGGTAGGATTGGCATCAATCCCCCTTTTGCTGACCATGAAACCTAGGAATTTCCCAGACCTCACGCCGAAGACACATTTCTTCGGATTCAGCTTCATCTGATGTTTTCTCAGGGTGGCGAACGTTTCAGCTAGGTCCGCAACATGATCTTTTGCCTCCTTGCTTTTGACGATGGAATCGTCAACATAGGCTTCCATGTTGCGACCTTTTTGTTCGGCAAACACCTGGTCCACCAACCTCTGATACGTTGCCCCGGCGTTCTTTAGGCCGAAGGGCATCATTTTGTAATTATACACCCCGGCGCTTGTAACAAATGCCGTTTTTGCTCTGTCATCGGGGTGCATGAAAATCTGATGGTACCCAGAAAATGCGTCCATGAAGCTGAGCAGAGCATGGCCACTTGTCGAGTCAACCAGCTGGTCGATTCTTGGCAAGGGATAGAAGTCCTTCGGACAGGCCCTATTCAAATCCGTGAAGTCAACGCACATTCTCCAGGAGCCATTAGCTTTCTGAACCATTACTACATTCGCCAGCCATTCAGGGTATTGGCAGGGCTCAATGAACCCTGCGTCTAAAAGTTTCTTAACCTCGGCTGCGATGTCCTGGTTCTTCTGAGCGGAGTAGTTCCGCTTCTTTTGCTTAATTGGGCGACATGTGGGGTCGACATTAAGCTTGTGCGAGATGAGGTTCGGATCAATTCCCGGCATGTCGGCTGCTGAGAACGCGAACACATCTCTGTTGTCCCGAAGGAGCTGGATCAGCTAAACACGGAGGTTCGGATCTAACCCTCGTCCGATGTTGACACATTTTTCGGTATCCCCCTCGGTCAACTGGATTGATTCAGCTTGTTCGTCTGACTCCATTGCCTTGGAGCTAGATTCTTCAGGTTCGAGTCTGCTGTCAATCTCAGCAGGCCTTCCTTCCTTCGGCTGGCTTTCGTCCGAATCTTTCGGTCCGTTCGAAGAGCTCGCCTTTTCGGCCCCTAAAGATGCTTTCTTTTTTGGGGACCCCTGAGCTGAAGCACTTAGGCCCTTCGGCCTTTTGGTACCCCGCTCCTTTTCTCTTTCTTTTTCTTCCTCATCATCCTTGTCGCTTCGGCGACTCTTGGATGGCTTGAGGGAATTGCATTCCCGGGCCTCTCTTTGGCTGCCCAGCATTTTCTCGGAGCGTCCTTCGTCTGAGACCTAAATCATTGACTGATGATATGTCGAGACCACCCCTTGAACATCATGAATGAGAGGTCTCCCCATGATGACGTTGTAAACTGACGGGGCGTCGATGACCAAGAACTCGGCCATGACGCTTCGTCTCGCCTGGTCTTGACCAAGGCTGACGGGAAGAAGAATTTTCCCATCTGGATATGAAGAAGAGCCGTTGAATCCAGTGACCGGATAAGGGACCGGAGTCAAATGCCTGCTCTCCAACTTCAGCTGGTCGAATGCCTTTCGGAAAAGTATATTCGCCCCGCTGCCACCGTCTACTAGTGTCCGATAGACGTTGTGGTTTGCAATGCTTGTCATGATAACCAATGGATCATCATGGGGGTACACCACCCCCCTGCAGTCTTCGGATGTGAACGTCATGTTCGGCACCGGAGACTGCGGCTTCTGGAACTCGGCATGATGGATCTGATGGGTGAGACCCCTCAGATGGCGTTTAAGCGCGTTCCGAGATATGCCACCGGAAATGGTCAGGATGTCATTGTGTCCCCCTTCGGGAGGCCTGTCCCTTTTTCGGTGATAGTCCAGCTCTTGCCGAGGATCTTTCTCGGTCTTCTTATCTTCGCGGCGTTCCGCGACATATTTCTTGAGATATCCTTTTTGGACCAGCTCTTCGATCTGGTCCTTCAGCTGAAGGCAATCCTCGGTGCGATGTCCACGGGATTCATGGAACTCACACCAAAGGTCCTTCCCTTTCTTTTGGTGCCAAGAAGGAGGTGGCTTCGGCTTTTTGAATCTTCCCTCCTCCCTCGTCGCACTGAAGATTTTAGTACGTGGCAAGGTAAGAGGGGTGTAAGATTCAAATTTCCCTAGGAAGGGAGCCTTATCCTTCTTCGGCTCTGCGGTCAAGGGAGGTTCTGAGGCTTTTGCCTTCCCTTTCCTTGACGCTGGAACTTCGGCCTGCTGCCCTTTTGGCTTCACAAGCCCTGATTGGGATTGCAGCTTTGCCTTGTTCCATTCCTCGGCTCGGATAAATTTATCCGAGGCGTCGAGGGCTTCTTCCAGGGTCTGCGGGGGATGCATGACCATGAAGTCCAGAAATTTGCCAGCTTGCAAGCCATTCCGTAATGCAAATACGGCCAGAATTTGGTCCAAGCTTGTTATTCTGGACGACTCGTTGCTAAAGCGAGTCAAATAGTCTCGGAGACTTTTGTCCTCCGCTTGCTGCAGACCCATCAACTCTGCAGTAGTTTTCTCTCGGCGATTAGCCGTAGAAAACTTGCTTTTGAATTTATTGGCTAGATCGCTCCAGCCAGTTATTGAGCCTTCCTTCAGCCCTTTGGTGATCCATGATTGGGCCACACCTTTAAGGGTTGTTGGGAAGTACTTGCACCAGGTAGCTTCGAACCTGGGGTTAAGGTACATATGCCCCTCATAGGAGGCGATGTGGTCCTTCGGATCCGAAGTACCGTCATATGTAATGTGTGCCGGAATTTTAACCGTCGGCACATGTTCTTCCAGTATCCACCTTTGGAATGGGGAACTGGTTGGAACCATTACGGCCTTCCCCTTCTTCCTCGCCGAAGGAACCCCGCTTCTCCCTCTCAGAGAGGTGGATGCGGGGGGTGTCCCCTCGCGTGACTGGGAAGGATGAGACCCTTCTGGAAAGGTGAGGCGACTATGCACCCCTCCTTTTCCACCTAGGCGCTCAAGGACGCTTCGGCGGGAAACATTGTGGCTGTCATGATGACCTTCGGAGGTTTGAGCTTTGGAACTTTTGGAGTGGCCGGAGCCTCTCCTCTGATTCTGCCCAGAACCACCTGGATGCCCAGCCTTTCGGCTACCTTCCCCTTTTGAGGATGGGGCACGCTTTTCTCCCTCGGTTATACTCTTCCTCTTTCGATCATTTGATCTAGGAGGGGGAGATAGTGGCTTTTTTACTGACGGAAAGCGTTCCCCTAAAGTATGCATGAATTCCATGCACACAGCCATGGCTTTCATGACCTCCTCGGTTGAGGGTCCGGTAGGAGGAGTTGAGCGCATGCTTGGTGAGGGGTCACGTTCATGAGCCTCACCATCCCTCGGCGAGTCCCCATTCAGGTGATCCCGCTGGGAAGGAGATCCTTCATGTGAATTTTCTCCCCTTGGGGAGCTGGAAGCGGTCGGCTCAGGCGACGGTGAAGGTGTCCTACCGGCCCTTACCGTTATAAAACCGGTCTTCCTAGTTCTCTTATAGCTCTTTGCACTCTTAGTCATTTTGAGTATTGGCTAAGATTCGAATGAAATTTTTGGCTGACTTTTTTGTAAGAATCCCCACAGACGGCGCCAAATTGTTTCGGTCAGAAAACAATGGGCCTTCAGCTGGCCCTTCGGATGAGTGGGGATGAAGCCCGATTCGAGTGATAACCGAATTGGGGATTTCCTGCACAGCAATGCAAACGTAAACTAGCCTCGGGGGGTGTGCCGAGGAAGGCCCCTCCGATGCCGAAGTCAGTACGGATGCACAAATATTAGAGAAAAGCTATGCAAGAGTATTTGTTGCTTGAGGCATTTAATGTGAATGAATGTAATTGTGTTAAAATGAAAGCTTTTATACCTTGGTTCCATAAGCTAAATTGGGCTTGATCAATCAAATGGGCTGCCCCATGATTGGGCCTTGTTGCTATTGACTTGGCAAATACATTGGAGGGTTGGACCTTATGGTTTGGGCTTTAACTATTTCCATTTGTGGACTGGGCCAAATTGTCTTGCGTTTTGGACCCCAAACAACATAGATATCTAATTTTTATACTTTTTGAATAATCCTTTTTGATAAATTAAATTTATTTTAAAAAAATACACTATTGTATAATTAAGTGATATGATATCGCAAGTCTAAATATCCTAAATTATCAAAAAGGATTACATGACCGTATTTAACATTCAAGCCAAAAAGTTTATACTAAACTTTTATCAACCATCTAGGCATCGCCCGGGCACAAAACTAGTAACTAATATATAAAGCTAAACTTTTAGCCAGGCCACGAGACAACGACACTTGACATTTCAACTTTTCGCCAAGTGTCACACCAGGTAGGCAACAATTAATTATTTGTATAACACGTAGGATAAAAACGTTGGACAGATTTCAATAGATTTTGTAAGATAAAAACGTTAATTTAGAGTTTTATTTTCAACAAAATTTGGATAGATTTTTAGGATAAAATTGCCGGTTTAGAGTTTAATATATATATATATATATATATATATATATATATATATATATATATATATATATATATATATATATATATATATGTATGTATATGTATGTATATATATATATGTATATATAAAGGGGAGAGTTTTCCCCAAAATTTTAGAGAGCCACCGAGGATTTTGATTTTTAAAAAATTATTAGAGCGCCATGTAGGATTAGTATTTTAGAGTGTTACGTATAGGATTATGTCACATAGGATTGTTATTTTAAAGCGCCACGTAAGATTAAATTTAAAAGATTAAATTTATTATAAAAATAAAATACTATCTTTTTAAATTGGAAATTTTATCTAAGAGAAAAGAAACAGTTTATTTTATTTTGTATACATACAAAAATACTATTAAACTTTAAAAAAATGAAATTCATATTCAGTGGATATTTTAAAAAAAAATTGATTAGATAAAAAAAAATAATGAAAATATGACAAGTGATTATAATAAAATATTTTATAAAAATATACTGATAAAAAAAATGAAATCACGTTCAATTATAAAGGGGAGTTTTTCCCCAAGATTTTAGAGAGCCGCCTAGGATTTTGATTTTTAAATAATTATTAGAGTGCCAGGTAGGATTAGTAATTTTAGAGTGTTACATATAAGATTATGCCACGTAGGATTGTTATTTTAAAGCGCCACGTAAGATTAAAATTAAAAATTTAAATTTATTATAATAATATAACAATATCTTTTTAAATTGGAAATTTTATCTAAGTGAAAAGAAAGAGTTTATTTTATTTCGTATATATAAGAAAAAATACTATTAAACTTAAAAAAATGAAAATCACGTTCAATTGATATTTAAAAAAACGGATTAGATAAAAAAAATAGTGAAAATATGACAAGTGATTATAATAAAATACTTTATAATAATATACTAATAAAAAAAATGAAATCACGTTCAATTAAAAAAAAAAATGTTTTCTCTAAGAAAAAACAGTTTTGGATTAGATACAAAAAATAAGAAAAAAATCATTGAAATTAAAAGTATATCCTTTCTCTTTTTCTAGCAAAAAAAAAAAAAAAATGTTCATCATTTATCATTTATTTGATGAATTGATTTCATCTTATGATTTGTTATTATTACAAATAGTCATTAAATCCAATTATACAAGAGATTTGTAATTTCTTTTAGAATTAAATAATTCAAATGCCATAAGTAAAATTAACGAATGAGATTTTATAGTTTAAATTAATTAAATATAAAATATTATCTTTTGATATTAGGAATTTCATCTAAATATATAATGCATGAGAGAAAATTCAATTTTAAATAAATAAAATTAAAATATTAAATGATAATATGATATAGTAGAGTGGCTTTCCCTTAATATTGTTGGGAAAATTTACAATTCCACAAATATAACTACTTTTTAAAATATTCTCAATCTACTGTCCACATTAGCAATTTAATTTAATTATTTTTTTTAATTTTGTTTGTGTGAAACCGCTATCTCAAGTAGCGGTTTTCCACCTAGTATTTTAAAAAAGAAATAAAAAATAAAGCTTTTCATTCCGACTTCCTACTTTTTCTTTCTCTAATTATGTTGTTATAACCAAGGAGAACCATTGCCATTATCCCTACTCAAACTACTCTCATTCAATCTTCAAATTTTATTTTCAATTTCACATCATCTTCAAATTAAATCAAGTTTGTGGGTGGATTTTTTGGGCATGGATAGTTAAAGCTTCATGGAGTAAAAACATCCCATTGAAAATTTGTAGAGGTACGAAACACTGAAATTGGTGGTGGGACGAAGTTCCAGTGAGTAAGGCGGCGGAAGGAGGTGGTCTAACACCTTGGTGAGGCGAGGTTGTCGGATTTTAGCACTGGGAAGCTAAGATCTAACACCGACTGGTCGAACAACTTCTCTGTTCTCTCTCATGTTCATCCCCTTCTCTCTCTTGTTCTTCCCCTTCTCTCTCTAAAATCAGATTACTTTGATTTTTTTTATCACTAATCAAATTAAGATTTGATTTTGTTTTTCATTTTTTGTGTTTGATTTGGAGGAGTATAAATAATTTTGCCTCAATTTCATTTTTTCATCTGGTTCATTACCTTAGAATTTTTATATGGGAATGAAGATGGATTACAGTTTTAGTCTTCCTGTACTCATTTCCTAAAAATTACTTTGTAATTAATTTTTTTTTCGTATAAATTGAAAACTGCCACTTGAGTTGGCGGTTTTTGCATAATTGAAAACCGCCAATTCAAGTAGCGGTTTTGTGTTAAACTTTAAAAAAAAAAAAATTAAAAATCATACTAAATAGTGACGTGGACAGTAGATTGGGAAATTGTAAAAGTGTAGCTGTATTTATGGAATTGCTACTAGTTGGAACATTATTATGGGAAAGCACTCGATATAGTACAACGAATAAATAAAGTAACAAATTTTATCACAAACTTACAAAAAAAAAATATTAGTTGTACAAAAATACAAACAAACCGTGCATCGCACACGCTTCATCTAGTTAATTAATATAACCCAATTAAAAAAAAATTAAATTATAACTTTCAAAGTTTCTCAAATTATTATCTTAAAAATTAATTATTTAATTAGGATATTTGTGTTAAAGAGCACTCCAAAATAAATCAATTTATGATATATTTTAAAAATTATAGCCCACAGCTTTATGAGCGGTAGTACTATATTATTTATTTTACAAGTATGATTGTCAAGTAATTATTAATATGAGTAGAAAATTCAAATAACTAAGTATTTTTCTCATATATAGTGCATATTTTTATAACATATATTGCACTCAGTCTAGGAGTACTCAATTGTTAAATGTCAATGAAACCATAAAATTAAATTACTCATCCGATTAAGAACATTTTAAACAACAAATTTTTCAAACGTGGATAGTTTTACACATTAGTGATAATGCCTTCAAGAAAATAATTACTTCTTTATAATTATTTTATAAGTAGCCAATTAATGTAAGGATTTATAAAACATAAAGATACATTGATACCCCTCATGATTGCTTTACAGGGATTTAATATACTACTCATACTAACAAGATACATCTTCCTTTTAGGGAGCTCATATGCTAAGATACTTCTCAATTAAGCGTGCTAATGCGCCATAAGGACTTGTGTTGGTCTGTGAGGACAGCTATTGGTCCTTGATGCACATTTCGTGACAATAGGCCCCTCCCTAATTTGTTTGGGGTCGGGGTGTTACATATATATTGTAGAGGAACCCGGGGCATCGCTCGGGGTACGTACTAGTATACTATATATATGCAACGAAATTCATACATTTTTTCAATATTTTCGCCTAGAAAAGGATATTCCAATGACTTTGAATGTGAATAATGTATATTCGAGCCAACATAATTTTAATTCAAAAAAATCCCCAAAAAAAGCCTATCAAGAAAAGAAACAAACAGCTGGAAAGAAGGTGGTTAAACCACTTAAGGAAAGCACCAATATTCCCATAGATCCGATTGCCAAAAGCCCAGCTACTATTGTGCAAGGAAAGGAAAATATTGGAGCAGCTGTCGAAGGCACACAAGAGGCAAGTTTAGAAAAAAACCTTAAGCCATCACAAGCCACACAACAGCCACACGAAGCTAGCATTGAAAGTTTCCCCAATGTCACACATTTCTCAAACTCCCTCACCTATCAAGGTGACAATCCCACCAGAGAAAATTTTGTGCGTTGGCCACCTCATGGATTAACCATACATAGCAGAGATGTGCCCCCTACTCCATATAATGGAGATGCAAATGGAGTAAATGCTACCACCAACTTCGAACCCCCTCCCCGGAGTTGGTGATCACGGCAAGGATCCCCAATGAATTGCAGCGTTTGCTGAAGATGCTCAGGCTAGCATATGTATCCTCTCTCTCCTCTATACCAGTTGATATGAAAAGATAGTATACCAAATTTAAATCCGGATTCTCTACTTATTACTTGTATGGTGTGGAATGTGCAAGGTGCTGGAAGTAGGAACTTCATCACAGTTCTCAAAGATTTGGTTCGAATTCATCAACCTAATGTACTTACGTTGGTGGAAACTCACATGGGAGGTGAGCAAGCAGTAATGATAGCTTCGATTCTTGGTTATGGTTATGATGGGCACTCAAGGGTTGATGCCTTGGGTTTTAGTGGCGGAATATGGGTTTACTGGAAGTCGAATCGAGTAAATGTGAGCCCGAGTTTGAAACACAATCAACACATCACAATGGAGATTTCTCGTGTAGGAGCCATGCCATGGTACTTTTCTGCGATTTATGCTAGCCCGAATCCAATGAAGAAGAAGGAACTATGGGAGGAGCTCAAGAATATTTCCATGAGTCATGATAAACCCTGGCTCATAGCTGGTGATTTTAATGACACTAGATTCCCTTCAGAAAGAAATAAGTCATGTCATGAAACTAATAGAAGATCCTTATTCAACAATTGGGTTGAGGACATGGACCTACTGGAAGTCGAATTCTCTGGTGCTTCACACACTTGGGCTAGAGGCAAATCACTTGAAACTCGTCAAAGTGCAAGGTTAGACAGAGCCTTGTGTAATGAGCAATGGGCTTTAAGGTTCGAGCAGGCATCGATGAGACACCTTACAGCAGTTCACTAGGAACATTGTCTCATTTTAATCTTCCCGAATGGCTTCGCACCTTTGCAAGCCATCCACCGACCATTTCGATTTCAAGCTACATGGCTAACACATGAGAATTTTAAAAAATTCATTGAAGAAAAATGGGACGGTGAAGGAGAATTAATGCCGTCTCTAGCTAAACTCTCGACCGATCTCCAGAATTAGAATCAAGATATCTCTGGAAATAAATTCAAGCAAAAGCGATCCTATCTTGCATGCATTGGTGGAGTGAAAAAAAAAACTTGCAATCAAACCTGATCGAGGCCTTATCAAATTAGAGGCTAAATTGAGAAAAAATCTTGATGAAATTCTTGAAAGGGAAGAGCTGCTATGGTACCAAAAGTCACGAATAGAGTGGCTAAAAAATGGTGATCGAAATACATCTTTTTTCTACCTTAGCACTATAGTTAGAAGATGGAAAAATAAGGTAGTTGCGCTAAAAGGGGAAGATGAACAGTGGTTGCACGATAAAGTTGAAATTTGTAATCATGTCATGTCATATTTCTCAAAGCTTTTCGAGGAGGAGGGTGAACCAGATTTCTTTGACCTCCCCCAAGATATCTTCCCCGAGCTGCCAATGCAAGAATGGAGTTTTCTCACTCGGCCTTATTCTAAGTTCGAGGTAGAGGCGGTTGTGAAGGAGATGGGTGCAATGAAAGCACCGGGACCAGACGGTTATCAAGCCCTCTTCTACCAAAAAAATTGGGGCCTCATAGCAAACACTGTATACAAGACTATCATGCCTATCCTTGAGGGAAAGGGACTGCCGAGTAATATGAATGAAACTTTTATTACCCTCATTCCTAAGGTCGACAATCCTGAGTTTGCTTCTCAATTTCGGCCCATTGGGTTGTGTAATGTGGCATACAAAATTGTCACGAAAGTCATTGTGAATCGATTGAAACCCGTGCTTCCCCGGCTTATATCAAACACCCAAGCTAGCTTTGTTCCGGGGCGTCAAATCACAGACAATATTGTGATAGTTCAAGAGGTCATTCATACAATGAAACGAAAGCAAGGTGAAAAGGGTTTTATGGCCATCAAAATTGACTTTAAGAAGGCATACGATAGACTTCGTTGGTCTTTCATTCGAGAAACGATGGTGCAAATGAATCTCCCTATTTTTATGATTGAAATTATCACGGAATGCATCACTTCGGCTTCTCTACAATTGCTTTGGAATGGAGAACCTTCACCAAGTTTCAAGGCTCCAAGAGGAATTAGACAAGGAGATCCGCTTTCTCCATATTTGTTTGTTATGTGCATGGAGCGCTTTTATCAAACAATTGAAGAGTCAATAATCCAGAAGAAATGGAAGCCAATTAGAGCAAGTCGAGATGGTCCTATGCTTTCCAACCTCTTCTTCGCGGATGACATTATACTTTTTGCAGAGGCAAGTGTAGATCAAGCGGAAATTATTCATGAATGTCTAAGGAGATTTTGTGATGCCTCGGGACAGAAAGTTTCACTTGCGAAATCAAGGGTGTATTTTTCGAAAAATATTGACACTGTTTCGCAAGAAAGCATTAGTGCTGCTTTTAGAATGGAGGCTACGGAGGATCTTGGTATGTACCTAGGAATGCCCACATTGACAAGCCGGGTGACAAAAGAGACCTTTCAACACTTGTGTGAAAAGATTAATAGAAAATTATCGGGATGGAAGTCCAAAAATCTCTCGTTGGCAGGCAGTATTACATTAGCCACAGCCACCCTTTCGACAATGGAAATGTATTCGATGCAAACGGCCAAAATTCCAAGGGCTACTTGTGAAGCTATTGATAAGAAAACTCGTCAATTCATTTGGGGAGGAAGTGATGAACAAAGGAAGGTGCACTTAATCTCTTGGAAAATGCTACAAAAACCGACAGATCAAGGAGGTATTGGCATCCATTCGGCGAAGCAAGCAAATGCAGCTTTTCTCACGAAGCTTGGATGGAGAGTGCTTCCGGAACCTAATGCTCTTTGGGCTAGGGTGTTGCGAGCAAAATATTGCAAGGGTCGTTGCCATGTTGATATGTTTGAGCTTAAGGTGGGTATGTCGAATGTGTGGAGTGGTATAACCGAGGAATGCTAAGTGGTTGGGCAAAGGCTTACGTACTGTAGTTGGTAATGGTGCTAAGACCTTGTTTTGGGACCACAAATGGTGTACGGATCAGCCCAAGGGGAGAAAATATTCATGACATTCTCTATTGTCAGAAGCTCTTAAATGATTCAAGATGGCAAGTAAAGGTGGCTCATGTGTACCGCAAAGGGAATAGAGCGCCGGATTGGTTGGCCAATCGCGGAGTTGTTCAAAGCTCTCAATTAGATTTCATTAATAATGTTCCGGTAGAACTTGGTCGTATTTTAGAGAAGGATAATAGGGGTGTGGCTTTACCACGCTTTGTCCCTCCGTAGGTAGTTTTTTATTTATTAGTTTTTCTGTTTTTGCTTTGTTTTTATTTCCCTTTGGACTTGTTCCTCTCTCGGAAAAAAAAAAATTAAAAAAAATAAAAAAATTCATACCTTATCCATTTGACACTTATTTTCTTTCCGTTGATGCTTAATGATCTTACAAAAATACTTTTAAACATTAATCTCATAACTTCCAATTTTGAACTAATTACGTTCACATTGTTTCAGACAAGGTCTTTAAACATTGTGAAACTGAATAGAATTTATCTTTAAGAACAATACTCTATATATTCTTTTTTAATTGTTACATTTGAAACAAATTTCTCTGAAAGAAACAAGTTTTACACCAGACAGAGCAAAACTATACCATCAATAGTATAATATTTGATATTTTAAAAGTTATATCAATACAAATCTAAAATGCTCACAAATGATCAAATGTGTAAAGTATAAACATTGCAAGTAAAACAGAACGAAAAAAGAAAATAAAAATCAAATAACTCAAGACAACGATCCCTGTAATATTCACCTCAACGGGGGGAAAAATAAAAGGTGAAGACTATTAATCTTCGAAGCATGGTTTCCTGATCATGGGAGTCTAGGAAGTATCAGAATACCATGATGGAAAATGTAGACCCATACTCCAATAACTTGTCCTTCGGTTGTGTACTCGATTGCAGAAAACTAATATTGTTAGGATAAGTAGCACGAAATAATCATTAATATATCTTCTGAATATGCAAGCAAATAATCATAATCATTATTGACTTTATCATAAACATATACTATGATAAAATATACATAGTTATTCACGTATAATCTTTTGCTGAAAATTTCAGCACCTATAAAGTAGCAATTTTGTTAGCCACAAAATTAGATAAACACAAAACAACAATTATCCCTTTTTTTTTTTCTTGCTTATCAACAATAAGATAATCATCTTAATTTTGCACGTATAAACAGAAATATTTATCCAACAAATATGCATAAAGATAATATCCGAAATAAACATAATTTCATATTAATCAAATATTAACGTAGATATATCATATTGACTTTCATCATCAAATATATAATATTGTTAATCGCATCAAGATATATTAGCAAATATAATCATGCATATCACATAATATTATAACCATTCATATCTTTGACTTCCATCATAAAATATAGTAGAATACGAAACCTTTATCAAGGTGGAGTCTTCACTATGGATGGAGTTCATAATACTGCTTGCTCAGCTTTCATCTTGAGCTGGAGCTTCACTCAATCTGACAGATCGAGGGAGCATAAACTCAGCAAACATTGGATAGTGGGAGGATGGGTAACACCCATCGATATTATCATTCACTACTTCACATAGTACTGGTATCAAGGATCTTCCTCTGTACAGAATCCAATCCACATGAAGATCCTGAGTTTGTCGATCCCAACAGAGACAAAGAGCCCTAAAAATCAACTTTAGAAATTCCAAAGCTCCCTGTTCGTCACCTAGCACACCATTAAAGCTTGTCAGAGGTTTGTAAACCAGATTCCACCAGTTTCACTAGTAAAAAATTTAAAAAATTGCAGACTTTGAGCTTCAAAGATACCTCTGAATCCATGATAGGTGCGGATTAAGGATCCATTTTTTCTTACCCGTGCATTTGGCCATGTGTCTCTCATATCACCTACTACACCGTGCTCTCTGTAGACAAAACAACGAAACTCATGTACTTTGTCCATTATTCTATCATGAATATGTATTCTCTCTCAATAATCTGGAGTCCCTATCTTGAGATCCAGAAACAGTATTAAAAACAGCAAGCTTGCCGGCTAGCCACTAGCCAATACATGTCACAAATAAACAAAATATGCCATGGTAAGTTGGTAACTGTGTTTTTTGACACATCTAACTATGCAATGTCATTTTCGCTTTTGCATACCACCTTCTCCATTGCACATTTACTTCAGTTGTGTTCACTGTTCAGTTAAGAGGGAAATCTTTTCCAAAGTGAATTCTTAACAGTATAATCATAATTTGGACTTTTACCAAAGACACATAATTTATTAAGTACCCCTATACTTTCATCTCCATTGGTACCACGTTCAAACAGTTAATAAAACAATAGTTTGGTCAATTACTAGCCTAAATTCCGTATCCTAGTCGTCACTTTCCCATCCTCTGTTTTCACAACCAACCAAATCGTCTGCAACTGACTTTATTAATTAATCACCCGTCAAAACGTTTATCAATGAATCCCACAACAAAATAAAATTTTTTGTTTCAATGAATTTATTTTTCCTGTCTAGCATTGTGGCCATATGACCCCATATGCATCTGATTCTTCACGAAGTATTTGATTTGTTTGATATAAAGATAACTGTCTCTTCTGTGATTTTGATTTAAGGGCTGCTGCTGTCATGGTAGATTTTGGATTAAGAAACATCAAGAAAATAAAATGATATAATTGAGAAATTTCAAGGGAAAGTAGAGATATTAAGACAAGGGTTTTGTAGATTTGCAGCTGAATCAAAATGGGTTGGTCTTAATTTCAACAGAAAATTTATGGAAAAATGCAGATCCTATTAAAAGAGAGAATAATAGATAGAAAGATCAGAGGGAGAAAATGAAACTGATTTCTTAGGGTGCAGAAATATAGTACTTAGAATTTCAGACTGATTGCTCCCCTCTTAACAGCAGCAAACCCCAATGCCGACCACTAGCCAGTAAATAATGTAGCAGCCAAATCGAAACCTGGCAACCAGACCAAACTTTCAAACATACAACTTAAAAGGGGGCTTATAGTAGTGCAGGAGCAGAAAGAAGCCAATGGTTTGAAAGCCTGTAATAGCAGGCGCAAAAGTAGGTGGGTGTAATGCTAATTGCTAAAGATATGGAATCTCTAACAAGTAGCAAAGATGAAAACCATTTTTGATGATATGTGCATCCACCATTGACGAGAAGCGGCAAATAGGTAAAAAAGCATTGCACTATAAAAAGAAAGAAAAAAAAAACCCTATATAAAAATGTTTTGTAATGTTTGCTCAAGTAATTAAAGTCAAAAGTTGAAGGACACCAATACCATGTAAAGGGGTTATTATTTTGAGTACCAATTAAAAGAAGTCAAAAGAACAAGAATATCATCAAATTTCTCTTTCTATAGAAAGAAAGAAAGAAAAAATTCTAAGGGGTGAAAAAGTGAAATAATATTCTTGAGTAGAAAACATTTTTGCAAAAAGGGGTGCAAGGCAATATCCCTTCCATTCCAAATGTTTTACTTCTGTCATCCCTCCACCCCCTTCATTCTAGAAAGGAAACTAGTAGTTTAAACTTTAAAAGTTGATTTCCAAAGAAATAAAATTTTCATAGAATATAATTTACAGTTCAAAAAGGTTTCCCTCCATAATGAACACGGGCAATTCAAAGTGGGTTGGAAAGTTTGTGTGGTTAGCGGTTGCACTTATTAGATACAAGCAATGATGTTAAAGTATTAAATAGATTAAGTCGCAATAAAAAGTAAATTTAGGCCATTTTTTCAAAAATATTTGCCAAAAAGATTCTGTAAAGCAAAGGATAATTCAACAAATGGCTAACATATGACACACAATCACAAATAATAATCATAAAAAAGCTTCCTCACAAGCCTCTCATCTACATGGCAGTGACTGACAAGGGCTCAAATGCTTGTTTACGAAAAATATGAAGAATATATATATATATATATATATATATATATATATATATATATATATATATATATATATATATATTGGGGATGCCAAAAGCTCTCTCCAAAATGATCACTACTTCAAATTTTAAATAAATTGATATAAGATGCCAATACATGAAGAACGGAGAGAAGTTCTGCTGATTCATTCAAAACAACAAAGGGATTTAATTGATATTCTACCTTGATCTCCCAAGAAGGAAACGTCCTGTAGTTGATTCCTTTTGTGTATTAAACCCTCCACAGTACACTACTGGCAAGCTTGGAGGTAATGAAGCGATATGCTGCCATGTGAGTAAAGCACCTCTCCGGCGTGCACGAGGACTGAACTCATCCATATTTGTGTTTACAATCTGGAAGGAAAAACCAGGAGGCTCAACCCCCCTAAGCTGAAATGTGTGGGTATCACGTCAAAGAAAAACATTGCTAAACAATGATTGAGAGGACTAGAAAATAAAATAAGCAATATCAAGGATATTGCCCAAGTTGCAATACAGGGAGCTACTGCTCCCCATGAAATACTTCCAGGGACAGATGGTGACTCTGATAACCAAAAGGTTCCACCTTCTACCAGCTCTACCTTCAAAGATGAATAAATATAAACAAAGTAACCAAGACAAAACATGAAAATAATAAATATATAAAACAGAGTCAACAAGCAAAGCTCCACCCAGAGCAAGGTCTAGCAAGGGAATACGTAAGCTCTCACCCTGCAAAAACAGAGGCTTTTCCCCAGAAGATATAATGAACTTAAAAATAATAATAATGAAAAGATAACCAAACCAAGACATTGCATACCTTTTCCTTGTCAAAAAAGATAGCACAATGCTCATCTGAAGCATCTTCAACACCCTTTCTAGATATGCCAAAATGCCCATAACCTGGGAATTTCAAAAAAAAAAAAAAAAAATATAAGGAAAAACTTTCAACTTTAAGGTTAATAGAATAAATAATAATCAATCAATCAAAGCCTTAATCCCATAAGTGGGGTCGGCTACATGAACCAAATTTGATTATTCCGTGTAGTCATCGACATAAATCTTCCTCCTCCATCCCTTACGATCCAATGCTTCATCCTCATGCAAATCCATATACTTCACATCCTTCCTAACTCCTTCCAACCAAATCATTTTCGGTCTCCCTCTCCCTCGTTTAACCCCTCCATGTTCCCACTCTTTGAACCGGTGCACCCTCGGGTCTCTGTCTTACATGCCTAAACCAATGCAGGCGATTTTCCCTTAGTTTGTCTATAATGCATGCCACACCTACTTTCTTGCGAATAACCTCATTTCTGATTCTATCTCTTAGAGTGTTCATGCACATCCACCTTAACATGCGCATTTGTAACATCCATCTTTTTATTGTGCTCCTTCTTAGAAGCCCAACATTCTGTACCATAGAGCAACACTGGTTTTATGGCAGTCCTGTATGTAAGGGGATGCTTCGGTCACATAACACTCCCGATGCCGCCCTCCATTTAAGCCACCCCGACTGATGGACTATGTTGCTCATATAGACTACATATATACTCAAAGTCTACAAAGATCGTAAGAGAAAGGAACCAATGACCTTTACAGTTGTAAATCAAATATCTTACAAAGACTGACGGACTATGTTGCTCATATAGACTACATATATACTGAAGAGGTAAGTGATCAGTAATCGTAAGTAGACAATAAAGCAATTCTATAATCTTGCTATCTGGTTCATTTGACAACTTGATGCCTCAACTTCATTAATAATTTCAAGAAAACCTTTGGAGTTTTTATACGGCTTTGTCCAACAGCTTATGTTGAAATGTAAATGATTTTCTCGTACAACGTTGACTCAATGGACAAGCAAGTCCAGGTAACTGATATTACATAAAACCCCTTACCTCTCTGTTCTTTAATTTATCTGTTTACTTCTTGTAGAAACAAAAACCAAGCGAAATGAAAGACTAGATAGAAAATAGGTTTGTTATGAATACTCCCTCCGTTTCAAAATAAACACATTCGCCGACGTTGAACTTTGACCAATCATATCTTTAGTTATCAATAAGTACAAATTATTATAATTTGATGTTCTGAAACTGTACATTGAGATGATTCTAACAAATATCCACATGATTTTATATAATCTTATGTGTAAAGCACCAATGGAGGTCAAAGTGGTGTATGTGAATAGTGAAAAGGTGTAGGTGTGTTGTATTTGATTTGTGCAAAACAATAGTCAACAATATAACATAGGATGAGCAAGCAATAAGGATGATAAACATGAAACGCAATGATTAACAAGAGTACTTCAAGGAGTCTTTTTAATGTCAATCAACTTATATGATCACCCGATGGTTACCTCGTAAGGAAACCATAATCCCAGCCTAAACCATTCTTTAAGGAATAACCTTCATAACCATCAGGAGCAAACCATGAAAACTGAACAGAAGCAGGATGAAAACCAGAAACCAAAATCAGGAAAATGTTCCTGCTAGAGGTTTGAGTCAACATTTGGGCTGAAAGCTACAGCTTCCTTTCTTCTCTAGATTTAGACATAGTTTAGACCGGGCAATCACCCGACTCGAATGACCAGGCCCGTGACCCAAAATCAACCCAAAAAATCGATTCAAATTGACCCGAAACCCAAAATCTACCCGACCAGTATCCAACCTTGACCCGACCCGAAGTTGGCCCGATACCCGAAATAACCCGACTTAAAGTTGACTCAAAGTGTTCGACCCGAACAGACCCGATACCTAAAATGTCCCAAACTAAAATTACCTTATAATTGAACTAAAAATGTCTGGTGCCAAAAATGACTCAAATTTTTCATCTCCAACTGTAGCCAAGCTCATAAATCAAATTAATAGTTCTTATTATAACAACAACAAAATATAAAATTATCGATTTGAGCTTAATCCACAAATAGAACAAATCGGACATAAGCCGACCCGATTTTGACTCGACCTGTATATGACTTGAACATACTTGACCTGGAAATGGTTTGTCCCGAACTCGACCCGAAATTGACCTGACCGAAGTCATACCCGAAACCCGAATTTGACCGACCCGACCCAAGATTGACTTGACCCAAATGACTCGTTTTGCACGTCTAACCGTCTAAGATAGACAATCATCCATAGCTAGACCGAATTCCTTTTCTTCTTCTTTAGAATTATTATACAATTTCTTTAATGTTCATGGCATAACTCAACAATTCTCCACCTTTTAACTTCCATATAACCAAAAAAATTAAAAATATTTAAGTAATGTTCACCATATAACTAACAAATTTTAACGCTCCACCTAAAACAAAAAACCATATGCCTTACTAGCTTTAGGCAATCAAAAAAGACATATTTTCTAACGTATGAACTAGTGCAATGCTGAACATAAAATTCCAAAACTTGAACCATCCACATGACCTTGATTGAGCGTATAATGCCAATACTGTGAAACCACCAAGCATGCATTATCCAAATTGACCAAACTCTCTTCAAATACTTCTCCATCTTAATACCAAACTAAACATCAAGAATAATAAAAATTACATCATATTTTCAAGTTACAATTGTACTAAACAAATCATAAAATTACCCAATCAGGATAAAAAATAGCATAACTACAAACACTCTAATGTGTAATTAAAATTGCTACAGCTACTTTATTACAAAATGAAAACATAAAACCTATCATAGACTCCCAAAATAAAAATTAACACGGTTTCTCACTTAACCGGTCATCATAAAGAGATCACATAAACCACAAGCCCCAGAGCGTGTAAACCCTAAAGTGCATCACCAATCACCATCATCAAATTCTGAGGATTTATTATCTAAATTACCACCAATTTTCTCTTTCTTCTTCAACTTCGAAGGCTCAGACTAAACATGCCCTTTTGCATAACAATAATAACAGGATTTACTTTTGTTAAAGTTCTTACCATAACGTACAACTAAAACATCATTTCAATGAGTACCATTATATTCAGCAATTAACTTATAATAATAAAATCTCTTTGAGTTAGGTACCTTAGGGTATCCCCAAAATCCTCCTAATCCAATCATCATCACCATATAACAAGGTTTCACGAAAATTCTTATAAGAGGGTTGTAAATAACATGACAGCTACTACAAATACATAGTAACAGAAAGAACTCATCTATACGAGACTCAAGCATTTAACTTTCTTCTAGACGAATATCCTAAAGTCTACATATGAGTAGTAGACGATTGGTGATAGTCTTAGTCATATAACGTGATCTAAATATAACCACAAACCTACTGTTGTAGTCTCCTTGGTACTTCTCATTAGAGAGACTAAGTTGAATCGCTGATTAGACTTTTTAATCCATTTCCTCCTACTAAACACATACCTAAAGGCTTACATCACCAAGAGCCTTGCGCAAACTGCCTTCACTTTAATTACTATGTACTAAATTTTACTGGCCTAACAAACTATTCTACACCAAATTTTATTGCTGATATGGTAAATCAAATTTTTCAAGCACCTTACATAATAATACCATAAAAGCTGGCTCTAGAAACTAATTGTAGTGAAAAAGGCGGTGTAGTATTTGATTTGTGTGGAGAAGTTATTCGCAAGAAAGTGGGTGTCCCAGGCATTCGAGACAAACAAAGAGAAAATCGCCTACATTGATTCGGGCATGTAAAACGATGAGTGGGATCATAGAGAAATTAAACGAGGTAGAGGGAGACCGACAATGACTTGGTTGGAAGGAGTTAGGAAGGATATGAAACATATGGATTTGCATGAGATTGAGGTATTTGATCGTAAAGGATAAAGGAGGAAGATTTTCGTGGATAACTATACGGAATAATCACTTTTGGTTCATGTAGCCGACCCACTTATGGGATTAAGGTTTTGATTGATTGATTGGTACAAGTCATCTTTGACCTCTATCGGCTTCTTCTAAAACACTTCATAACTCCAACTCTCCACTTTCCTTGCCAATGCACCTTTTAAAGGATGTCACATTTGGCCAAACCATAGTGATTTCTTCTTCAACATTCCTCCATATATCTTCCAAATTATGTCTCTTAAGGTGCTACAATAGATAGACCCAAATACTCAATTCCCAATTACTAACTTAACCTTGCACGCTTGCCACAATGCCAGCTAAAATTAAAAAAAAAAAAAAAAAAAAAAAATACTTGTTCAAAACGAATATTCGATGCCTACATATTTCTCCAAAGCCCGCATATCAAGAACAAAATTTCAGACTCCTCTTATAAGGTAGCATAACAATCAACAAATCGTCTCTTAAAAGCAATTTATATACCTAGCGATACATTGTTCCGAATATGTATTCTTAGGAAACACACCTTACTAAAAGTAACCAAGAGCGCCGTAAGAAGCATGGCCATAAGACTTCTCCACATCAAAGTTATAAATCAGACGGCTTGGTTTGATTTTTCAACTAGACATGTGTATTAATTGACAGAAACCTGTCAATTAGCTCTAAACAATTTTTAAATTCGTGATCATTCACAAAAGGGTTTCTAGTATAGAAAGAAAAAACACGGAAAACAGCAAAATGCAATACCAGGTAATCCCTGCTGAAGATAATCCAACTGCAACTTCAAGCCTGAGTAAATTAAAGTGAAAAGGAATCAAAAAATTTATGTTGGGAAAGAAGAAGTGAAAAAAAAATGGCGAAGAGAAAAGATATACCCTGTTGTGTACATAAGAAGGTGGGTGAATAACTGGTAATGACGCTGATGCACAAATCTTTCCTGTTTTCCCATGAATTCAAACTATCAACAGGCTGTTCGTCATGGAGGTTAAAGGTCATCACAGTGAGCGATAAACTCATCCTTCACAATCATCAGCCACTGAAGATGAAATTTCCAAATCGAGCTGAAGAACCCTAATAAATCCCCAATTAAGAGTTCTGCACTGATACTTACAAGTCACAACTTCAGACCCCGGCAATTCAAATGCAGAGCATTGATGAACTATATGCTTGGATCCAAACAAGTCAATTATGCAAGAAAATGATTGAAATATACTTATGTTGTTGAAGATGGGAGGAAAGAGAATAACTTTAAGCTTGGGAGTTGGATTATCTTGTGTACACTCTAATCAGACGAAGCCGGAGGGTGAGTTATTACAAGGGCACTTTGGTCATTTCATATTATTTGTATATGTTTTTTTATACATTATATAGTACCTCCGTTAAATGTGGAGGGATTCCAATGCAAAAAAATTTAATAGTGCTTAACAATAAGTATTATGTCGGTAATAAATAATTAATTACAAATTCTTTAAAAAAAAAAAATCAGAGTCTAAAAACCCAGAACTACCAAGCCATCTAGACCCACCAACGGAACCTCCACCCTCATGTACACCCACCCACCAAAACCCGAAAACACCCAGACCCATGACCACCCACCCACCTCCACGAACACCCACCCACCAAACCCACCCTAACTCAAACCCATAACCACCAAACCCACCCTAAATCAAACCCATAACCACCAAACCCACCCTAACTCGAACCCAGAACCACCCAAAGTCAAACCTAAAACCACGAAACCCACCCCAACTCATACCCAGAGCCACCCAACACAGAATCACCCACGAAATCGCCCACCCCCAATGAAAACCCATCAACCCACCGACAACAGCCTTAATTGTTCTTCGTCGTACCAGATTTGGAATGAGGTTGAAGGAGGAGAGAGAAAAATAATGGGTAAGTGAAGAATTAGGCTATGAAGATGAATCTTGGCAACATAAGATGAACTAGTTTGGTTGATTTCAATGAGTTATTGGGGGAGATGATATAAATTTGGTAGGAATAGTTGGATTAATTAGGTTAGATTAGTTTCTAATTAATTCTGTTTTTAAGAATGTAATTGAGGTTATACATTTTTTAGTAAGGGTGTTTTTGTAATTTTAATAAAAAAGATTTACTAAAAATGAAAAGATTTGGAAATGTTGTACATAATTTTTAACGACTACTTTTAGTAAAAGTTGCACATAACATTAACTAGAGGTAGTATATGTATTTTTTTTTTTTTTTGTAACATTAAATACTAGTAAAAAAGATATGATGAGACCTTCTAACCAAGGCAATACTTCATGCATCATAAACAATGATTTATGGGCAACAATATTTTGAATGATCGACTTTAGCCATCCAATCTATTGCCCATTATGCTTCTCTGTAAATGTGACACAAACTCACTCCAATCATCAAATTCTCCCCTTTAAAAATACGGAGTAATATTTTAATGTGTCACTCTTAATTGCTAGAGGTTCAATTCATGAAAAATTGATGCTTTAACTATAAAAGCTTGTGTTACCAAGGTTTAAAGCTTTTGTTACTGTTTTAAAAGATGACTTACTATTGAATTGCCACAATTCAAACTGTCGGAGTTGAGTTTGAAGAAGTTAGGAGGAGGAGCTTCCCTCACCACCGAGTTACAATTGGATGGAGGAGTATTGGAGTAGTTAAATGTCCTGGATGGAGTAAAAGGATTGTGAGAATTGCTCATTGTGGTAAATTCTATAAATATTTTAGACTCATTATCTCCATATAGGTGTTTCATTCTTTCCATATACTCTAAATGAGAAGAGCGAATTTTCTTATTGTATTTTTATGAACTAGGCTAGTATTGAAATTTCACTTATACTCCCTTTTCTTATGAATCAATGCATCACTTACCTTATTTATTCAGTTCGAAATAAGTTTGAAACTTACTTCAAGAATATATATATATACATATATATATTATCAATTTTTTTTATTCTCTTTTGTTTCCTGTCTCCATATCAACATATAACTAGTATTTTTCCCGTACGATGCACGGAAGAATATTTTTGTCTAAACATATGTATTTCAACTTTTTTTTAATCAAAAACTTCTTTTTTGAAAGAAAATCAAAAACATTTGTAAATATAAACCGCACTTTTTTAGCAAACTAAAATGTAATACTACGTACGTAAATGTAATGCAATATATTCTTAACATTTAAAAAATACATCATATGTAACATTAAGTAATAAATTGCATCAAGCAAAAAACTAACTCTGCCAATAAATAAAATTTTGTTTTGCCGTTTTATTTCAAATTTTAGAAAAAATAATAAGTATTTAAAACACTAAAAAATCAAAACGTTTGGGACATAAAGGAAAACCAAGAAGATACATAAATGAAAATTGGTCATTTATTAGGAGATTGAAAACGTTTGGGAGATTTTTTATTTTTTTTTTAAGGATATTTTGGATTCTAACACCTGACAAAAGGCTGAAAATGTTTTTTAACACCCCAAAAAAAAAAGTTTTATTTTAACACCACATAAAAATTTAACAATTGGAAGTTAACACCAGTTAACGTTTTCTGTGACGGCAAAATTGACGTGGGTCCCACAATTTGGTTTTAACTCCAATTTTCACCCAGCAAAACACGAAGCTTCTTCCTTCATTGAATTCTCACCAACCATCTTCATTGAATTCTTTCTGAACCTTCATTGATTTCACATTTTAATCTAAATTTTGTGGCTGTAGGAGTGGAGTGTAGGAGGGAGGTGTCAACATTGGAGAAGATTGGCTCAGCAGGGTTTCGTCACCCATCTTCATCAACTAGAAAAGGGCGAAAGTTGGTGGAAATCTGACACCAAAGAAGGTAATTTTTTGTCTTTTGATAGCAATTTCGTCTATTACTGGTGCTTCATTGATGTCAAAATTGCAATATTTGGCTAAATTAGGGTCATCATTATTTTGGCAACAGAGTAGGAAACCCTTAAAAAATCAATTTCTGCAATTGACTATGCGACTTAGGTTAGTGGAGTTCTTAATTGAAATTAGAGATTAATTAAGGTGGTTTATTGTTAATTAAACTACTATTAACTGTACATGTGTGATTTGTTTATTAATTTATGTTACTGAGCACCTGAATTGGGTTTCAATTGTTTAGTTTCAATTGTTTATGCATAAATGTTGAAATTGGTGCTTTGTAGTGTATGTTTGGTAATTGTGATGGATTTGTTTATTCGTAATGTGCATGTATTGATACATGGCTTTTAATATGTATTATATCTTTTTCACTAGTGGGTAGATAATGGGTGACAATGATGGTATGGTTGACATCTTACTTAGAGTAGGAGGTGTTTTTATCCCTAAAAGAGTTAGCAAAGACAGGCAGTTGCTGTGTTGGTGTGGTGGTTGGTGTTACTGGAAGAGGAAAGTTCAGGTTTCTAAGTTGGATGTACATTTGATTAGAACAGCTGCAATTCATGGTTTTGTTAATGGTGATATGGCTGTGCCTATGCATTACAGATGTTGGTATAGGCAGAAGGGGAAACCTTTAACACTGGGAAAAGGGAACTAGTTAACATTGAAGAGGTTAAGGGCCTTTTAGAGACAGTAAATGCAGAGGGGTATGTTGAAGTCTTTGTAACAGCAGAAGCTCCGAGTAAGCCCCTAAAGGAGGCCCAACCCAATTCACCAAAGACAATAAAAAAAAGGGCATGAAAGTAGGAAGTTCAACTATTGTGAATGTTAGGAGGAGCCCTAGGTTTAAGAAGACAGAAACTGAACAAAGGGAGGAAAGTCCACCTAGGGATATATTTGTCACAAAGAAAGGGAAAGAGAAGGTAGCAGAAGTAGGAGCTTCTAGTTTTGCAAATACAAAGGTGAAGTTGAAAGGGAAAGCCTCAGCTAAGGCTAAAGTCTTGAGTTTTGATGATGAGGAAGATGATGGAGGTGAAGGATCTGGCCTGGTTATTCAAGTTCAGATTTGAGTGATGAGGGCCAGGATTGGGAACTTGGTGAAGAAGAATATGATGAAGGGGATGAGGAATGGTATATCGAAGGGTCAAAGGAGATCTTGGACAAGGTGAACAACAACCTTAGGAAAGGTTTGGGGAGTGAAATAGATGAGGGGGTTGGTAAAGATAAAAGGTCAGAGTTGAGGGATGACTTGGATGTTGGAAAACTGAAGGTGAATCCAGAGACTGAAGGTGAATCCAGAGACTGATGGTGATTCAGATGATTCAAGGAGTTTGTGTGGATCTGATGAGGAAGAGGACTCCGCTCCATGGTTTAATGCTGATGTGGACTTTGACAACCCAATCCAGTTGAAGTTAAGTCAGAAATTCAGTAATGCTTCAGTCTTGAGGAGAGCCTTAAGACTTCATGCCATTCAAAACAGGTATGAGTTCTACTACTTGTATAATGACAGTACAAGGATTACAATTCAGTGTAGGTATAGATGTGGCTGTGAGTTCAATAGCTACACCTGTAGAATGCCTGCTTGTACATGTGTGGGGGGAGTAAAGTGTCAGTTCAAGGTGTTTGCATCAAAACTTGTTAAGCAGCAAACATGGCAAATTAAAAGCTTGAAATTAAACCATACCTGTTTCAGAGTGAAGAAGAACAAGATGCTTACTGCTGAATATATAGAAGAGAAGTATTTAGAAGAGTTTAGGAGTAACCCTGGTTGGAGAATTAAGGAGATTAGGGCTAGTATTTTGAATGATTTAGGAATTGAAGTGAGTTATTATAAGGCATGGCTAGCTAGGTGTAGGGCAAAACTAATCATATTTGGTTCAGCTAGGGAGAAGTATGCTAGGGTGTGGGATTATGGGAAAGCTGTGATAAAGTACAACCCTGGTTCTGGGTGCAATGTTGTTGTTGATGGTATTAACAGCCCAGAGCCACCCTTGTTCATGAGAATGTTCATCTGTTTAAGGCCAATGAGAGATGGCTTTGAAAAAGGTTGTAGGCCACTAATAGGGTTGGATGGTTGTCACCTCAAAGGTGCCTTTCTTGGGCAAATTCTGGTGGCAGTGGCTAAGGATGGGAATAACAACTTATGTCCTCTAGCTTGGGCTACAGTGGAGATAGGAAACCAGGATACTTGGGGTTGGTTCTTGGAATCCCTTATGGCAATGTTCACACATGATAAGGAGCTGGGCTAACCATCATGTCTGACAGGCAGAAGGTATGCTTCTGTTTCCCTCTTAAGTATTTAGGTTTAATTTCTAAGTTTTCATGTGTATGTATGTGATTGGCTTATGAGTTTACTTCTGTCTGCATTTAGTGGGGTTTAATTAAAGTAATGGCTGATGTTATTCCCAAAGCAGAACAAAGGTTTTGTGTGAGGCATATTTGGGCTAACTTCAAGCTCAACTTCACTGGATCAACCTTCAAGGAGCTATTTTGGAGAGCAGCCAGGGCTACCACTTATGTAAGTTGGTTTGCTTGTTGAAGCTAACTTATGCTTTTATATGCTTCGTTTAACCTGAATATTGGTATGCTTGTATATGGTTAGTTGTCTAGATCTGTTATATATTTCTAGCTTATATATTGGTATGCTTGTATATGGTTAGTTGTCCTGAACCGGTATGTCATTATGATAAGTCTATTTTATATACATATTTATTCCCCGTCCCAGTGGTCATAATTGTGGTTATTTGAGCTC